CCGCCGCCCGACATTCACCATACTATAAACCCGGATTTTGCACCAGTGCAACCGGCCAAAAATCCATCCTTACCATGCTTAATATCTTAAATGACTTTGTCCGCCATTCAATCTGGACAAAACCATTAAATGTAATTGAAAATATATTTTCAAAATAGTATAATCTTAATTTTCCCTTTTTTATTCAAATTTTTCTCCCAACTATGAGTCAAAAAGGATGCAATCTAACACATAATTAATCAGCAGCAACAAAATTTGTGTTTTGCAATGAGAAAAAATCCCCCCAAAAATCATTTACCGTACTTCAACACATTTTTTTTTTACACTTAATCAAACTTAGCTAAGTACATTATGGCGATTTAGCCTATCATTTAGAATGCTAATTTGGATGATATAAGAGAAAACTGCACTATGTCATCTTAAAAGACGAAGTAGCTAAGATAGTTTTGCATTTATTTCATATAATGTTCAATTTGTAAAGAAATATATCTTAATGCATCACCTTTATTACACTAAGGGAAACATTAAACAGGTTAATTTTACAAAGAATTTTGTGCCCAAAACAAAAAAATAACAACAAAAACTCCCCCAAAAATCAATAAAAGTGATAATAGTTTGTTTTTGAAAAATTTGTAAATCTTATAATTATTTTTAATCAGCATTCAAATTCTAAATGATATTTTGATTTCTAAACCATACACAATTTTGACTGAGACTTTGCATGTTTAATTATATGTTACATAAGTTATACAAGTTTGTATAGAAATAGAGTCTCAACACTGAACATTGAAATCTTGATTTAACCCTTATAGTGAATTTTAAATATTCAAATACCCAGTTTCTTAGTCAACAAAAATTAAATCTTCATATCTATAAAAGTATTGATACAAATTCCTAAAATTAAAATTTCCTTAAAAAGGACCTTTAAATTTAAAAGATTTACTACTATAAACAAGATTGCATTTGAGAAAAATGCTATGCCACCGCATTAATACAACACTAAATAGTAGTGTAGGAACAGATTTTTTTTGTTTCTATACAATTTTGAAGATTGTCATAAAGCATAGATCCCTGACCTATCTTATTCTTATTATCAGATTAGTGGTTAAATCTGTTGTTAACTCAATAAAAGATCAGAGTAGGAATGTATCAATGCACTCGAGTCTAGTGAATCTGGTGGTGGATGTCGTATTTCACACAGCCTAAATTTCATGACTACATCAAAAGGACAACACAGTAAGACACTTTGTCAAAATCTAGGTCAGCTGAAATCAAAGTTCACTTTACATCTTAATCTGTGCACATGGTTCAAATTTCAAAGCTGTACATCAAAGGACAAGAAAGAAGGTCACATCAACAAAATCTAGGTCACCTGATATCAAAGTTCAATTTTACAACTAAAACTGTGCACATGGTCAAAATTTCATTGCTGTATATCAAAGGACAAGAAAGTAGGTCACTGTCCCCTTGGGCAAGGCAAAATTTTGGACCCAAGGGTTTAATTCAAAACAATCTTGATACAAGTCCACCAAACAACATTTCAAGTCAAATATCTAAGCTGTAGCTTTCTCCCATTCAGAAAACATTTGTTTTATTTTCTGTTTTTACTATGTGTACATAATGAGAATCACTGTCCCCGGACAAGGCCAATTTTGACACCAGGGAAAAAAATTGAACAACTTTAGTAGAGGACCTATAGATGATATTATATAGCAAACATCAAAGCTCTATGCCTTGTACCTTCAGACAAAAATATTTTTTATTTTTTTACTATATGTACATAATGAAAATCAATGACCCCCTGGGCGGATCCAATTTTGACCCCAGGGCTATAATTTGAACAATCTTGGTAAAGGTTCACATCGCAAAGTCTCATGCCATATATTTAACCTCTAGCCTTTGTCAATTCAGAGAAGAAGATTTTTCAATTCAGAGAAGATTTTTCAAATTTTTACTTTATACATATAAGGAAAAAAATCGCCTCTGGGGCAAGGCAATTTTAACACTAGGGGCATTATTAAAACAACTTTAGTAGAGGACCCATAGATGATATTATATACCAAATATCAAAGCTCTAAGCCTTGTAACGTCAGACAAGAGGATTTTTTAATTTTTTACTATATGTACATAGTGAAAATCAATGACCCCTGGGCATGGGGCCAATTTTGACCCCAGGGCTATAATTTGTACAATCTTGCTAGAGGTTCACTACATAATGTTTCATGCAAAATATCTTTGTAAATTTAAAGAAGATGATTTTTTAAGTTTTTACTATATACATAATAAATTTTAATGGAAAACCTATGGCCCCCGGGGCGGGGCTATTTTTTATTTATTTTGACACTCAAAGAGGCAAAATTTGAACAACTTTGGTAGAGTTCCTATAGATAATATCATTTAACAAATATTAAAGCTCTAAGCCTTGTACCTTCAGACAATAAGATTTTTTACTATATATATAATTATATATTGAAAATCAATGACCCCTGGGGCGGGGGCAATTTTGACCCCAGGGCTATAATTTGAACAATCTTACTAGAAGTTCACTTCACAATGTTTCATGCAAAACTGTACTGGACAAAATGTGCCGAGGCAATGAATGTCAAATTTCCTGTGAATCTAAGGACAGGTAAGATAAACATGTTACGAGTTTTAAGAGAAATTATTTCAGGTTTAGTTTAACCACAGGCGCTCGTCATATTGCCTGAATATATTTTTTTATTTTTTATATTTTTTTATATTTTTTATATTTTTATTATTTATATTTTTGGTCAAGATAGTGATTCAATGTCATATTTATAAAAAAATATTCCACAATTTTTCATGAAAAAAAATTAGTATAATTATTGTATAAATAAAGATAGTAATTTTCTTTCATGAAAAATTGTGGAATAATTTTTCATAAGACATAATTATATTCATCATATTGACCAAAATAAATTAACTATAAAATTTTTTAAAAAATGTTAAAAATAAAAATATGTACATTACTGTATTCAATGGCAATAAGACACACACTTGTGATAGGAACAAATGAAGGTGATTGAATACATTTTGAACATACTGTTATCCATGTTGCTTCCATGGTGACAGATAGTTATTGGAAATTCGGCTTTTATGAACATTTTTGTACTTTAATATAGACAGTTCACCATTTCTGCAGCATTGTTAAGCCTTTGAACAGTCATGTTATAAAAACATTTAGTAATACAACTGTAATGGATGTGGATTTCTGGTATTAAATTGATAGATAGCACAATAGTTTCTTAATACGCTGAACATGGTAACTCATTTTTAAAAAACATATTTGTAAATGAGTTTATTTTTTAACAGGCCGTTCCTGCAAAAATGCATTTAAGAGACTGGACATCACTGAACAGATCCCGACCTCTTCAGGAGAAATAGTGAAATCAGTGGATCAAGGAACTCAGACTGACATAGTGCTCCCTATATCTACCAGGTAAATTGTTGAGAATGTTAACAGTTGGTAATGAAATATTGAAACATTGTCCAAACCATATGCAGGTATGTAATGGACACCAGTGAATGGGTAATGCAATAATTGAACTGTTGTATCATAGTTTGGAGACCTTTCTGTTGAAAATGTGTCTGGGTTAAATCGTATACATATACATGCACCGTGCGTTAACTGGAGTGCGGGTATTAGTTACCCGCACTCCAGAGCATACCCATTGATTGGCTCATTTTTGCTGGGGTTTACATATTGTGACGGCAGAGAAAGGGAAAGCGACAGAAATGTCATATTCAGATGTTCGTTCATTGGTTCATTTTTGCCGGGGTTTCATATTGTGACAACAGGGAACGTGCTTTTATGTTTGACTATGATACAAAAGAGAAAGAACACCAAAACACTCGGCAATCTGATTAATACTCGGGGGCTACGCCCCCTCGTACAAATCAAATACCCTTGTGTTTCGGTGCTCTTTCTATTACATGTATCAAGCAAATCAGTGAGGGATGTTAAATTGGGGCCCCGTGTGACATTGCTTAATACACCAGTGCACGTTAAAAAAAGTTAGCTTAATGGTCCAAAATGATAACACTTAGATAATGTATATGAAAAATGTTAATGTTGACTCTACAATTTGTAGAGTGTCAGGTATCAGGTTATTGATATACCAACACTCATTCTCTGTGGTTCTTCAGTTTCAGGTCAAGTGATAATGAGGAAGGTGAATGGATATTTTTGGAGCCAAAAAAAGAACTTAAGGTAAATAATATTGTAAGGTGTTTAAATATTTTGTTTTTAAATAGAAAATACTTTGTAAATTCTTATTGTAATATTTAAACTTTCTGATATATCTGAAGATATACATAGTAATTCATGCTAAGCAGCAAAAATTAGAACATTTTAGATGTTATACATGTACACATGATGTTATGATGTGGGCTTTAAATTGAATGTTTGTGTGTATATCTTAATTCAAATGGCCGAATAAGAGCCCTTGATCAAAGCAAGATAATATTGCAAATGCAATTAATATTCTTCGGTTGTCACTATTAAATGTATGTGCCATTAGTAAAACAATTGTTTAGATAAATGCAAAATTATTTTTTTAATTTTGATTCAATCCACTTTTCTTTCAAGTTTTTTGCACAAGGTTTTCCAATGACTGATTGTTGTCAAGTATTCTGCTTGTTACAAGAAATAAAGTTTTCCAAGACAATCCAACTTGATTTTTGTCTTACTCCAGAAAAAAGCTGGCAAGGGTGCAGAGTCTATTCACAAGGCTGCTTTAAGACGTCTTCGTCATTATGCTGAGCTCAAGGACGATGAAAAGGCTCATTTGGTGGAGTTGCTTTGTAAGTTAAAAAACAGAAACCATAATTATTCTTTATACACTTATTATATGGAGTTAGGCAGAGCTTCCCAGATCAGATTTCCCTTTTTAAACTGTTGAAAGATTGGGCTAATAAAACAAGTTTTAGGTATTAAAAATTGTTATTACGAATGAAATCTTGCATGACTACAGGCATTGATGGAAATCAGCTGTTCAAGTTGTCTTACTGTGGAAAGAACTGTAATGGTGGTTACTTATTTTGCAACAGGTAGAGGCAGTCCTCAACAAATTGCCAGAGGATTAATGAGCTCGTCTCTAGCAGAGGAATTGAAGTGCCTTGTGCTATATGACGTAGAAATGGAGGCCAGAGAATGTGCAACCAGAAGGAGTGTTTTAAATCAAAAACAATATGAAAATCTAGCAACCTTCAGTTGGGACAATATTGTAGCTGAAATGACAGACAAGCAAACTTTTCTGGCTGAAATTTTACTTGCTGTTGCACTTCCAACTGGAAAAATTGGAAATTTAGCTGCAACAGAGTCTGTTGTGCCAGTGCTGGGTACAGTATATGGCATGCTGATGAAAGAGAGGTTCCATGAATTGTCCAGTGCCCAAAAGGTTGTTGCAGTTACACTTGCAAATGAACAGACTCACCAAAAGGTATATGGTTTGTGCATGCAAAACTGTTTCAGAATTGTTGCAGGCCTGGTAGTTAATGTTTGGCCTCAACTGTTTGTTTTCTGTTATAATGAATTGTCTTATAAATAAGCCACTAACAAAAAATTCTAAATTCTAAATGCGTAATAGTGCTATACAAGCATGCCTATATACAAACATGCATAAATGTATGAACCCTACTATTTCATTACTATGAGGTATATATTCTCCAGTTGTAACCATTGATAAGGAAACAATTTATGACACTAAATGAGAACTTGACAACTGTCATACAAATTAAAATAGATACAGTATATGCACACCACACATAAATGTATATAATATCATAAGACATTTTTGAAGTTTTCGAAGCATGTTACTTTAAATATAGTTCAGCATCCAATTGCTTTTGTTATAGTTGAAACCCTTGTTTTTCATGTTATACAGTTAAGTTCCAAGTTATAGCTGACGTTTTCTCATGTTCTACAGTTACGTTCCAAGTTCTAGCTGATGTTTTCCTGTTCACCTGCTGGTTCTTCTCTTCACTTTGAACAGTTAATGAAGTTCGACCACAGGATATCACCGTCAAAGAAACAACCTATTTTGGGTAAATGTGACAGACCAGGGCTTTTTCTATTCAAAGTCTTCAATAGGTCTCTTTATGTCATGTTTATGTTTATAATTGAATATGATTTTGATATTAAAGCAGCCAGGAGTCATTAATTATTTAATTTAATTTACAAAAAGTTTTCACTATAAATCACTGTTATGTTATATTTCATAACCTGCTTTTAAGCATCAGTCCTTCAAGAGAAAGGACCATTGAAACTGTCTTTGCAGTGTCCACTTGTAGCATTTAACATACAACCACTTATCACCAAACTTGTTGTCGTACAATTAGGTGGGGCATATTTTCTGATGACAGTTGGTGCTCCTTAGAAATGTAAAAAATAAGTATTACCTGTACATATAAATACTAAATATAGACTTGTACGTTTTTGCAGTGAACTTAAATTAGTACTTGTTCTGAACCAAAAAGACTGACCTTCAATGTAAGGAGATGTAATATGGTGTAATCCTCAACACACACACTATCTATTTTATATGTTTTCTCTATCCAACAGGTGTATGACCGGCTACAGCCTCTGGGTATATCACTTAGCCATTCTGGCATGTTGGAGACTATGTCAGCTATATCAGGCAGCTTTAACACTGAGCTTATCAATTCCATACAAGGGGGCAAGAAATTTCGAATAGTTGGAGACAATATTAACTTCAATATTGGAGTCACGAACGAGAGAAAAAGTACAGGTAAAGCTGGCCATATGGAACATTGGTTTAGATCTGCTGCCATAATATATTGTTCAAAATGTTTCATTCAATGACTGTTCAGACACAATACCCCAGTGCAACCTTGAGCAGCTTCCAGCTGAGCAATTCATTATGCATGATAATGACTGGAAAGTGATAACAAGTGATATGTGCATTCTTGTTTCAAGGGTATTAACAGACTTTTTTCCATGGCTAAATTTTGCCAAATCAGCTGTAAGTAATGAAATTCAAGGGGGAACACCTTTGAAAATGAAACTGAAAAACACAGTCATACCCCTTCAAATACAGCATAAAATTGAACAGAAATATGCTGATGTTGTAGATATTTTGGACACATACCAAGATTTAGGTGAGACCTTATATCAAGGTTCTGGACTCCAAGTTCCTCAAATTCACATAGGGGGTGACCAGCTCACTAGAGAAAGGTTTTCTGGTGCAAAAAGACTAAGAGCAGCAGCCCTGACTGCATCCGAGAGGTTTGAAAATCTATCTCCAATAACATTTGAGCTGTTCCATCTTCAAATGACTGTTTTAGCAACATTCTATGACATACTTTACAAAGCGGACTGTACAGAGCCATTCACACTTTACTCACAGAAAGTAAGACTTTTGCGAAAACATGCTGAAGGTAAAGACGTCAAAAATCATTATCATAGCTGTCGAGACCTAGCAGTTTCATTCATAAGGGCGTACATTGTCGAAGCAACATGTCAGTATTTTGATTTGAAGAACACTGACACAGCCCCAGAAAATCTCCCAGACCCCAAAAATATGACAAACAATGAAATAAAGCATTGGATGACGACTTTTGTACAACCACTTGTTTTAAACATAGTATCTGAAAGCAGGCGGCACATATCAAGCGAAGATGTGGATGTTAATAGAACTGACGCTGTATTGTCATATGGAAAAGTTGTATTGGAACTTGGACTCATTTTTCTCGAACTATGTGACATTGTGAAATCACCAAGTCGGATTCGTTTGCTCTGTCACATGAAGTATATCATGCTGGTGTTGAAAGGCCATAAGAATAAGTCAAAATATGCTCTTGAGATTTTAAGACTGTTATGTCAGCAATTTGCCCTCTTGAGTGAAAAAACATTGTTGCCAAGTTTAGGACACAATGTATCTATAAGTTTTAAATACCGTAGAAAGTTGTTCTCACTATATTTTTATGATAGATCTACAAGCGTATATAGTTTATTTTAGTATCCGAAATTGGCATTACATTCGCATCATCCGAACACTATAACAGTAAATCAAAATGCAATTGCTCAAAAAATTAATAAATCTATGACAAAATCACTGCTGCGCTACAGTTTCAGGCTTATAAGACAACTTTTATTTTGTAATTTCAGCCAATGGTCCAAACATTTATACTTTTTCCTATCCGTTTTACTTACACTGGAGGTCGCCATTTTTGGGCCACGCCAGACGTACTCTTGTTGTGCAGAGAACCAGATTAGTCTTTAGTGTGTAGTTCCTGTTTCGAATGTCTGCAAAAGTGTCCGTTTTGTAGACAGTTGTATAATTGTAAACTTGCATCATCTACGAGTACACCAGTTCCAGATACATCTATGTTTATGGAGCCAAATATGTCAATGTTTACAACCTTCATCATCTTTAAGTACACGCGATGCCAGGAAAGCTAAAGACAACTGGAATTATTGGTTTGGACGTTTTAACGGACGTAGCATAATGAGACTATACCTATCAGGAGGTCTTTTTTTTAATCACGATGTTGTACACCGACTTCTAAATACAGGTAGTTTTTATGAACCAAATGGGGCTGGTGTGTGTTTGAATAGACGTGAAGCCTACCATTTCGTACGGCGACAATTGAACGATTTTGTTCACCAGTTCTAATTTTTATTGCGTATCTCTGAATTACATGTACAGCAGATTAAAACCAGCATGTAAATTTTAAGAAATTATATCAGATCATAGTGCATGAAGGGAAGACCTTTTTTGTCTAAAATTTAGTGTAATCATACCTATCGTCAGTGCAGATACCGGATACGGGAAATTGCATTTAGTGGATCTTTGAATTCTCTCCCTTAATTTAAAATACTATTTTTCATTAGAGATTGGCGGAGAAAGTTACAAAGTTCACGAACTAAATACATTTTACAATTAAAAATGATTAGGACAATTTATTGGATACTTCTTGCGTACGCGGGTACTCAGAGTATGTGTGAACAAACTGAATATATCTATTTGGACCATCGATGCGGACATAATATAGACTTTTCACAGAGAATAACTTGCACGTATGATTCACGAGGAGTTTACACATCAAGAAGAGTATATGAAAATGTAAATGTTATCCAATTTGAAAGATTTACTGGCAGCATATTAAATTTAGAAACATTCCCGAATACCACACAGATATATATTAAATCTATAACAGAGAAAACAGAGGTATGTAAACTAATCGAGGGATTCAAGGGGCCAGGCAGTGTAGAAGTCCATTCAGACCAGTCTACTTGGACGTGCAGTGTAAGTAATACAGCAAGATATGACGGGTTTCATAATCATCCATGAAAACAAATCTAATCAAAACCTGGACCTGCTAATTTTTTAACTTTGTTTCAATTTATGTTTTACCTAGATAGACTTAAATGTTATTGAGGACTTGAGTTTAGACATCTCCAGCCTGATCTCACTTGCGAAAGGAGGTTTTAAAGAGCAGATTGTGCAGAGCATTTTCATTTTTGATGTTTTGGGCTTTCTGTAGGGCATCCTATTTGATTTATTTTATCAAACTGATAATACATTGTTTTCTTTATAGTTTACAACACTTACTCCAATTAATTGCTAATACTGTTTTAAATATCTTTCAGGGCAATGAAAGTAATATTTTATCATCTCCCACGTCTATCGAGGATTTCTACCTCCAGGACACCTGCTGCCAGTAAAATGACATCATCTTATGTTGCCACTACCCCTATCACACCTACCACTCCTACGAGGATTTCTACCTCCAGGACACCTGCTGCCAGTAAAATGACATCATCTTATGTTGCCACTACCCTATCGCAACTACCACTCCTTCTACGAGGATTTCTACCTCCAGGACACCTGCTGCCAGTAAAATGACATCATCTTATGTTGCCACTACCCTATCGCACCTACCACTCCTTCTACGAGGATTTCTACCTCCAGGACACCTGCTGCCAGTAAAAATGACATCATCTTATGTTGCCACTACCCCTATCACACCTACCACTCCTTCTACGAGGATTTCTACCTCCAGGACACCTGCTGCCAGTAAAATGACATCATCTTATGTTGCCACTACCCTATCGCACCTACCACTCCTTCTACGAGGATTTCTACCTCCAGGACACCTGCTGCCAGTAAAATGACATCATCATCTTATGTTGCCACTACCCTATCGCACCTACCACTCCTTCTACGAGGATTTCTACCTCCAGGACACCTGCTGCCAGTAAAATGACATCATCATCTTATGTTGCCACTACCCTATCGCACCTACCACTCCTTCTACGAGGATTTCTACCTCCAGGATACCTGCTACCAGGAAAATGGCATCATCTCATGATGCCACTACCCCTACCGCACCTACCACTCCTATGTCTGACACAGTCACTAGCAACAGCATGTCCATGATAACAGGTACTGTAAATAATGCACTGCAATTTTCCCCTCATTTTATAGTAATATATATCTTGATATTCCTATTATGCTGTTTCATTGTTATTGTAATTATTTTTGTCTCTAAATTTAATGTATCAGTTAAAAAAAGGCTCCTCTGTCTAGAAAATCCGATATTTACTGGAACACGCAACAGCAGTTGGACATGTTCGAAAGGAGATTGCGTATCTTAGAAAATTCCCCCTTTATTCAAACAGAGAGTAGAAATAGTACACGTATCGAAACTGAAAATGATTATCTTAGCTCGCCACAGAGATTAGAAAGTCATACAAATTTGAGTTGGGATATGTATGATGTATATGATTATAATAATTATGAGCCAGTATATAACACAACCACAACTAGATTCTAAAATAGTTTAGCTGTTACCGTTAAACACAGGCATTAAATTCCTATGTACTAAGGCAATCAACTGTATTTACATTACCATTAAGATGTCAGACACACACACACATTTTCACACTAAGTACATTAATCCTTTACACAAGTTGTAAAACCTAATAATTGAGTCGTGTCAATCAAAAAGGGACGTTAAGGCGATTACAATCAACACGATTACAATCAACACGGATCCAAATGATCGTTTTTATATCATATGTTGCATAATGATGGTGAACAGCTTGGATCCTGATGAGACTGCGTGGATGTGCAGACTCATTGGGATCCTTGCTAGTCACAATCGCCTTAACGTCCCTTTTATCCTGATTTTATTCTAATTAATCTAGCAGAAAAGCAAAGTCTGTCAAAGTATTTTCTGTGGAACATATACTATCCATATGATCACGCGAAAACGTATTCCAGTACCGTATTCCTTTACCCATATGATGGAAACGTATTCCAGTACCGTATTCCTTTACCCATATGATGGAAACGTATTCCAGTACCGTATTCCTTTACCCATATGATGGCAACGTATTCTCGTACCATTGCACTTGAAAACGTATTCCCGTACCGTATTCCCTTACCGTATGCTTTGAACACTCTAAATAAGACTACTTGTTGGATCTTAAGTCACACTGTAACACCCAGCCTCACGGTAGAGACCAAACAACAACTCTCTAGCTTTACTGGTGGAGGAAGACCTCAGGTGCCCCTTCATGCATCATTTCAGGCACAAGCTGGCAGTAGAACCACCAATGTTCCCTTGATGGGCTTCAAACCCACAGGAATGAGGGTCATGTGACTTAAAGGAAACCAACCACCTTAACCATTTGGCCATGTTTTTTTTTGTTTGAGGTGTAAAATATGATGAAAGGACATATGAGTTAGCAACATGGCTTACACCAGGACAATGTGTGTGTCAGCCTGCAGGAGGGCAATGTGTCAGCTTTCACGAGGGCAATATGTCAGAGGTTTTTGCAGGTTTTGAGGTTTAAACAACAACTTATATGCTGACCCAGCAGTAGCCTCCATTTCAAGCCTCCATTTCAAGCCCTATCATTGGCTTTATAAACAAGTAAATTGAAGACAGTTGATCAACTTCAACAAAACGACTCATAACAGAACAATAGAGATTGTTAACGACTTATAACAGAACAATAGAGATTGTTAACGACTTATAACAGAACAATAGAGATTGTTAACGACTTATAACAGAACAATAGAGATTGTTAAGAGGAAGCAATCTCATTTCACAAGGAAGGAAGCGGAAATGTGTACAAAGATGTAGCATGGAAAAAAACATATCCATGTGACTATATATAGCATTATTTCTGTATTGGACTACATAATGAGAGAAAAAAGAAAAGAATAATTAATGATTTGTTTATTTTCTTTGTAAAGGATATTACATGCATTAATACACTTGTTACTATATTTAGTTACAAAATTGCCCATGATTTCAAAAGATAATAAGTGTCACATGACCTGAATTAAGAGTTTTCAGCCTGGTGTCTAATAAATCATAATCAGCCCGCTGAATGAAGTCTATTTTACGTCAACAAAATAGCTAAGATTGCTTGACCTTTTTATTACAACTGAAGCATAATTTGTACAAACACTGTTTTATTGAAATTGAAAGAAAATCAAAGACAACAATTTTATTCCGTAAGAAATAAAACTTGCTTCTTGATTCTAGTAGACTTTGTAGAATAAGGTAAAAAGTAAGTAAGGAATTATATATTTTCTGCATAAATTTTCAAAGGGAAAATTAAAAGCTTTTAGGAAGATGTTAAGAGCTTAAGACGGAAGTATCGGAAATTGGAGGACGGTATCGAAGAATTAGAAAAAACAAGCAGGACAGGGCAATTAGTAAATGAAAGTTCTGCTGACAGTCTTGTGAAACCTAAAGTTGCCACTGTGGAACTAGACCACACTGTTCAACAAACCAAGATTGTGAACAAGACTGCCGAACAAGACACAACTGTTGAACCCGATATTGAAGCTGTAGTTGCCAAGGGAATAGGTGTACACAATAAATTCAAAAATTTATGTTTATACTTTTTCACTAGTGATGAACTCTGCTCTGGAACAAGAACCAGGAAAAGGACAATCAAATGTATAGATGAGGTTAAATGTCAGCTGAACCAACACCGGTTCCAACAGCTGGAAAGTTGTGTAGTCAGCAAATATTTGCTATATTCATAAAAAAAATTTGAAAATTTGCAAAAGGTTCTGCGTAGAGACCAGAAAAAGAGTTTAGCAAGATTCATAAAACCTTGGAAAAGTGTTAAATTTTAAGGTATCAGACTTCACTTAAACAGAAACACTTATGTTCTAATACAGTTTCAATTTTGCAACTAGTGGTTGACTTTTCTTTGAAAACATAAAAAATGTCCTTGAAAAGCGCTTGAATGTTATGTTATGTTGTTTTTGTATGAAACCTCACCATAGTCATGTTACATTCACCATGGTGCACTACTCATTTGAGTTTGTTTTGTGCAGTTTGATACATTGGTCCATCAGTCTGTTCTTCTGTGTCCAATTTTTGTGAGGACTACTAGTCAGAAGCTAAGACTCGAGAAGTTAATGAATTGTTCTTGGAACTTGTAACATGTTCAAGAAGTGTTCTAAAACATGTTCTAGAACTTTTCTTAAACTTATTCAAGAACTGTTCTTGAAAGTTCTAGAAATGGTTTAGTTCTTGAACTACCATTTAATGTTCTTGAAACGTTCTGGAACAAGTTCAAGAACTTGTTCAAGAACAGTTCTAGAATTTCTCGCCCCGGATTTTAGCACAGTTGCATAGTTTAGTTAAAACTTGTTTAAATTACTTCCCTTTGCTGTGAAGTATGAAGTGAAATTAAGAAACGCTGTCATAATTGAAATGCTTTACGCTTTCTTTTGATAATACTTACACTTATTGAATAAAATAATGGATATTACTGATGAGACTCTGAGCTTAGGAAGAAGTTGATGAAATTAATAATGACCGTACATGTATGAACCTTATGAACTAGAGCTTTAAGCTGAAGCCAGGAATTAAGACCAAAGTGCATCAAATTTGGATAAAATTATGGACTATTCTGATGACTCTGAGCTTAGGAAGAAGTAAATGAAATCAGACCATTTATATCTGTTCATGTTTCAGGAGACACCGATATACATGTACTGCTTATCGGCAGCTGGCCAGTAGCTTTGGGAAGTTTGGGTGGTCCTGCCATCATGTGCTGTGATCAAAATAAGTACTACATACCCATCTGAAGATTATGAAGGGTTCCACTTTGCCGGATATAAGGACATTATTATATAGACATTTGTTAACTGAACAGTTGTGTAGATTATTTTGTTTGTTTATATAAAAGGTTATTTTGTAGAGGTTGTTTCTTTTTACATTGTCACAACTGCAGCTAAATGAAATCTTTTTTTACAATAAATAAAACCAGAATTGGCCTGCCTTCTCAACATCCATGTGTGGAAGACCGTATGAATTAATTTATTCACGACCATGGGCCTAGGGAAGAAAATCAAGAAATTCATGAGTTAGTGAAATAAACTAACCATGTTAAATAATATGAATTTGTTTCATAATTTTTTTTTGAATATCTATGTCTACATTTTCTAAACAGCAATATCTATGTCAATATTTATCCAAACAGTGATAATTATGTCTTTATCATAACAATGATAATTTAAATTGAATAATATATAAAAACAGAATAAAAAATTGCTGAAGAAAGTTTTCTATTGCTTTTTTTGTAATTGGGAAAAAACCCAACAGTATCATTCTTTCAATTTAGGTTCTTTAAATATACAATTTAAGTAAGACAAAAACAATTATATAAATCCCTATTATATGGCTTTAAACCCTTTAACCTTTACCACACAAAGTAAATTGAATAACAACTTCTTGAAAAATCAACATCAACAGAAATAGCTGAAACTCAATAACCTTAATTTATCCAAAAAAGAAAGATTTGAATTGAACATGTAATTTTTAAGACAAACTTGTTTTTATCAGTCTTTATCTTCATAATCTATTA